TTTTCACCGAAAAGAAGTTCATAGGTTTCTCCAAGATAATCGAAATCTACAGGTAGAACGACTATAATTTACAAGAGAAAATAAATGCGATGGATAAATGAGCTTACTACTATCGGAAACACAACAAACAAAATAGAAAAATAGCCTTCAATGCACTCAATTCTTATCAGGTGTTATCAGATGGAGAGTCTAGAAATACTAAATATATACTTAATCAAAACAATCAGAATTCACATAATTTTATGGATTCCATGGATCCCTAGGCATGTTTGAAAAAAAGACAATAAAAATGCAAATTAACTTTTTAGGAAAGAAATCACATCTTTCCTTAATCTTTAGGTAAATTGCTTACATCAATCAAGCAGAAATACTCGCGATCTATATGTATTACTTAAATATAATTACCAAATTCAATAGCGTAGCTAGAATTGTATAAAATGGGGTATATATTTTTTGTGAAAATATTTTTAGCAACGCATTTATGTATGCACGCAGAAAATAGTATTCTTATTGTCCCTTAAATAAGAGAGGGGGCCACGTGGAGGCTGTGTGTCAATTTGGAGATACTAGTGACAAGGAGCGCACTAGAATTCACCATGTTCAATGCAATCAGGCACTTTACTTTATATGTCCAATCCCTATATAGTCAGCAAAAAATTCAGTTACTTAAAAATAATAAAAAAGTTTTTGTTGTTGCAATTTCACTTCTGTTCGATAAAAACATTCTATTGAAAACAACAATTTATATTAAGCATTTTGTTTTTTTTCGTTATAACAGACGTTAAAAATCAATTTATTCTCATATGAAAAGTTTAAATTAATTTCGTTTTATTTTTATAAAATTTTAAGTTTTATATTAATATCAATAAAACTTTACATATGAGCACATACGAACCCACATAAAAAAATCTCAACTAATTCCCAAATGTGTCAAAAATATTGGAAAGTTGACAATACATATTAGGTTTTTGATAAGAGAGTTTCCGCAAAAAATGTCAAATTGATTGACACTTAATTCTTTCAATTTTGACCAACAAATATGTCCGCGTCAGCAACTAAAAGGAAATTTTGAGACTTAACACAGATTTAGAAATGTTCGTTTAAATTTAAATGAAGTTTTGTAACAATAAATTAAAAAAACTTTTTTTTTTTTAATTTTATTGAAAGTACTTATTAAAATACTTTAAGAATAAGTTTAAGCATTTTTAAGTTTTTATTTGCTTAAAATTTTTGCATCCAAAAAGAAAGTCACTATTTTTAACGGAATGGATTGACCAGTATTTACCAGTAGAGAAAATTGATTACAAAAAGCCAAAAATTCATTTATTAGTTTCTAAATTCAATTCTATCCATTCCTAGTCACGTTTTATTTTAATTAAAACTTTCACAAATAATATTTACTTAGGAGTTAAAATCAATATCCTCATCAAACATTGACTCAAGTAGGATTTATAAATTGAATTTGGCAACATATTGCACTGCAAGCTTCACAGCAATTTAATCCTATTTGTACAATATACACAAATTGCTTCAACTCACTCTTAGTTTTACTTATCCTTTTTACATTTTGATTAATCATAAAATCATATTAAATAATTATAATATAATTTAAAATCCTAGAAGCAATTGTGAAGCTTTCCGCAAGCGCATAATTTCATTAAAACTGCACTTAAAATGTGCAATATACACAAATTTTGTTACTCATACGCTGCGTTGAACAGGGAATTTTGCTTCAACAAAATATTAATTTTTAAAGTAATATTCGTAATATTCGCAAAGCCATTTTTATAATATAATAAAAGGATAACTGCTTTTGAATATTGTATTAATTTGCGATTGACCCAGATTTGTTGTAGTTTGGACCAACAAATCTGTTAGGTCTTAAAAGACTATTTTAAGACCCAACACAGATTTCTTTGTATTTTTTAAATATAATGTAACTAAATTGTTTTGAAAATAAATTCAAAAAATTAGTTCTTTACAATTTTACTAAAAGTATTTATTAAAAATGTATTTAGAATAAGTGTAGACAATTTCTGAGTTTATATTATAATTAAAATGTTTATGTCCAATAAGAAAGTCCCTATATCGAATGGAATGGCGAAACGGTAAAAAGTGTAGAAAAAAAATGTGGCCATAAAGTAAGAAATATATAGAATATTATTTTTACAATGATGTACACTCTAAATAATGCATAGCCCATAATATACTGCTGGGACACGAATTAATTACTGAAATAATACATATTTATATAATATTAATTTAATTATTATAATACAACAATTATATTATTATATTATATATATAATGTTATATACATATATTTCGTTATATTTATTATGTATTATTGCATATATATATTATTTATATTTTATTTTCATATTTAAAATATTTAAAAAATTAATCATATTTAATTATTTTTTATTTAACAGTAAGTATAATTTTTTAAATTGCTTAAAAAGTAAATTGTAAAAGTGTTTTTTAAACTAAAATTTATTAGTTTATTTATACTAATTAAGATTACTTGACTAACGACAGTATGAATTAATAATTAAACAAAATAAATCAAATATTATTCAGGGAAATTTTAATAATTATGTTTAAATTTTAAATTTTCACTAAAAAAGTAGATGTTTTGAATGGAAAAACGTTTAATAGTAGAGAAAATTAATTTCAAAAATCAATTTTTAATTTAGCGATTTTTAATTAAAAGTAGTTGATAGTGGAGTATATTATATATTAAAATTAATTTTAACTAAGTATTTTAAATAAGTTTTTTAAATTAGAAATTAATTACAAAAATAAAATTTTAATTAATTGAATTTTTAATTAAAATTAGTTAACAACGAAAAGTATTATATACAAAAAATAATTTTAATTTAAATAAATTTTTTAAATAATAAATTAATTACAAAACTTAACTGAATTGGTCAATTGAATTTTTAATTAAAAAGAGTTAACAGCGAAGAAAATTAAATACAAAAATTTATTTCAATGTAAATTAATTTTTTAAATTTAAATTGCTAATGGTTAATAAAATTAGTATAAAAATTGATTTTTTCTTAAAGAAATAAAATATCTAAGTAAAAATATCTAACAGTAAAATAAATTTAAGTATTTAAAAAAGTTTACTTTTTACTTAAATAAATTTTTTAAATTTAAATTGATAATAGTAGACAACATTATCTCCTTCCAATTTTTCATTAAATGAATTTTTAATCAAAAATTTTTAATGGCATAGAAAAGTAATATTAAAAATTAGTTATTTTAATATTTTAAATAAAAATGTTTGGTACTTGAGATAATTAATGTTTAACTTTAGTCTACAGTTCCCGAAGAGGACCGTCAAAATGAGCCGTCAAAGATATTGGAAATACTTAACGTCTCATTAATTTAAAAAAAATTATGACTAAATAGAGCCACTGTGTTTAAAATTAAACTAATAGTCCATGAAAACAAATTTAAAAAAATTTTAAGAACTAATATTTGTAATTTTCTTCACATATAAATAAATTAATTATGTAAATTCTTTAAAACTTCTATTGCTTTTTTTTTAAATTTAAATTCTAATATACCTTTGTGAAAATTTTTTAATTATTACACGATAAAATCGAGTGCACTAATTTTATTTATTCAAAATTTGAATTTCTAACTGCCAATAGCAAATTGCAGATGACAAACTTTGTGCTTTTGAAAGTAGAATTTTTAAACTTGACAATCAGAAAGAAAAACACGCGCTAAAAGAACCTTTCGGACCGAACGCTTCAATTGATTTGTGGTACTGGTTTGGTTATGTTGAGTACGATTGGTCGGAATATACCGAAAACAAAGTACACCACTTTTCAGATTTAGAGCAACTAGTTAAGGACGAAGTGAAAATGGCACATATATATGAAATTCATATACAACAGGAGGTGAATAAAAATATTTAGTTCAAATGAAAATGGAACAGAAAAATTATACTGTGACCATAACCTAACCGCCAAATAAAGAAATATTTTTAGGTTGAGCTTTAATTTAAAAAGCTTTTTCTTATAACTAAACCTTAGTATTACTTTCAGTTTTTTTTGCGAAACATATATATTTTTGTTTATTACCTTTTTACAGTTTTTTTCTCTGTTCTGTATTAAATTTTTATATATTCAATGTTACAACATATTTCATTATATTTAATTTTTTTTAATTTACAAGTTTTACATTATCCTAAAAGTGTACGCTTAAAGCTTAAAGGCATAACTTTGCTAACTTTATGAGGTGAAATAAGAAAACTGTTACACTAGTGTTGACTAAGTCATTTTTCACCTTATTCAGTTTTCAAAGTATTATACTATTATTTAAATTATTATATTTACAATAAAATAAATACCTGTTTTTTGAATTTTATTTGAATATTTGATAACAGTGCCAATAACATACCTGCAATAAAAGTATATATTATGTAAACATATTAAAAAATTAAATAAAAAATATTTAAATTAATTTAGAAAGAAATTAGTAACCACTTATCTAAAATTTTCAAATAATTTTTTTTAACGATTTTAAATATTAAAAATCACCAAAAATTTTTAATTATAAAATATTTTTATGTATAGAAAATACAAAAATGATTTAGTAGAAGAGTACATACATAGTAAGGAAACTAGACTTTAATTTATCTATTTCATTATTTTTATTAAACATCAAATTAAAAAAAAATCTATTTTTATGTTTAAATTAAAATTGAATTTCAAATTAGCATTTGCGTGCATTTAATTATATAAAAAATAATATTTAATATATAAAGTAAAACATGCAAATTAATATAACAGCAACAAAAATAATTATGCTAATTATTAACATATTTCTGTTAAATAACAGAAACTTAGAAACATTAAAAACACAAATAAACAAGCAGTGCCTTGCAAACAATAAATTAACACCGACACACACACATTCAAACTGTTAACAATGTTAAACAATCAATCGTGCTCAAATAAAAGCTCACCACACACCATTTAGTGCAGATTGTGGCTAAAACGAATTAACATCAAATTTAAAATCGAGATCCAAATTTTTTAACGGATTTCGACGAATTTTTTTGCTGCCATGATGATGATGGTGGTGTGGTATGCGTATGTCCACTTCCACTTCTTCATTGTTAAGCCATTGTTGATATAATTATTAAATAAAATTGAAAGAAAGAAAAAAGATAAAGAAAAAAATAGAAAAAACAGAATAATTTATATAAATATATATTTCAAACATTTCGCTAAAAAGCTTTAAAAATATAAGCTTTTCATATGTTAAATTTGATACTACGTATAAAATTTTATTATTATCGTATAAAGCTTTAGCAATCCTTATTGAGGTGAATTGTTCAAAGTGTTAAAAAACAGTCACGTCGAAAAATATTATATTCATTTTTCAAAAAATTTTTGTATTATTTAATCATTCTTAATAATATATATTATATGTTTCTAATATAAAAATATTTTTTAAAATTTCAAAATATGTTTACAACAACAAACAAATTTTGTAAACATTTAAAATGTACATTAAATTTACTTTGAAAACTCATATAACACCGAATAATTAAAATTAAAATATATAATAGTTTGGGTTAAATAATTTGTACATATCTTTATATTTACATATAATAAATAACATATATATGGGTTATTCTTTTACAAGCGGAACGGTTTTCAACCTCATCAACTCCGATTTGAGCTGGTTAATTACCTTTGCAATAAAAAAATTTCAAATTTCTGTCGTTTACAGAACTTGAGATATATGTAGCTATTTAAAAATTAGTCTACAGTGTAAATTCCGTATCTGCTAGGAAAAAAGTTTAAAAATGTTTTCCGAGACACACGTATTTTCATATTAAAAAAAAAGTAATTCATAGAAAAAATTTCAGTCAAATCGGTGCTAATGAGATCAAAAACCGACCCGCTATAAAAGAATGGCCCATTAACATAAATAAGTTACTGAAATTTTTGATGCCTAATAATGACTGTATTATACTGAAATTAAAGTCGTATTAATAGAAAAATTAAATTTTACTCAAATTAAAGTCTGTAAAGTCGGCTACTGATAGAAAGGTACGTCACTTGGACGCCATGGATGGCGACTACTATTTCGAATCCGACAAGGATTTCATTTATCTTAGCACCGCCATATTAAACAGTCTTAAACAATTAAACAACATTGATGTTAGTCTCATTAGATGAAGAATCAACACTGCTAAGAGAAGTTACTGTGGGCTCAGAAGGCAGTTGGAATGTGGAACATTTTTTCGATCTATTAACTTACACTATATAGTTCGCTTATCTTAGTTCTACTTCTGTATGTCGCAGAAGCATGACCGTTTTTCATAAAATCTTAGGTTCTCTACAAGTTGACTATGACTACCACAACCAAATGCACCAAAAACTGTGCAAGACTTAGCAGGACATTGATATAATTAGGCGAATTAACATCCAACAGCTTTGCTAACTTGGTCATGTCGTGAGAATGAATGAAGACACTCCTGAGAAAAAGCTATTTTAGCGGGAATTGAAGGAAGAAGACGTGGAAGTGGACAGTATCTAATAATCAAGTTGAAGAAGGCGCGCATACAGCAGAGTTGCATCAAAGGACATGCTGCGTCAGCCTGAAAAGCGGTAACGGCTTACTATGGCCATTTATGTAACTTATTTTTAAGCGGAATTTAATATAATATATATAATATGATATTATTTTTTTTGCCTGAAACCATAAAACTGACCTCTTGAGTTGAGGATCCTCTAAACACTCTACAGAGTAAATTAAACCAAATACCCTACATATAATAATTCTGTTAATCCTGTGAAAAAAGTAAAGTTTCATTTGATATAAGCCACGTGTACTTCGGACATCTCAAATTTTATTAAAAAAAGCAATAATAATTAATTAATTTTCCAAAAAATAAAAAAAATATATAAATATACATATTTCAATTACATTTAAATTTATTATCCTCTACTGAAAAAGTAGAAACCATCAACAGCGCTATCAATGAGAAAAACATTTTCTTGAAAGTGTACGTGTACGTGATTTTAATTAGAAATTAAGGACATTTTTTTGGCAGAATATGTGAGGAATTTTTATCAATAACTACTAAAATCCAATTTTAAAATATTTGTTTTTTATAAAACATTCTTTCCTACTTATGGAAATTGAATTTCTTTAATTAAAATTGAATATTATAAAACCAAAAAACTTTTGAATGTTATTCAATCCTCTTAAGAATTTCAAACCATCTTAAGCAATCGATATTTCAACAATGCACAAGGACAATCGCAGTCAAATATAAATTTATAACGAAGTAGAAGAGAAGATATAAGAGTTTTCAATGAATTAATAAAAGTTACAAAAGGTTACACAAAGATGTTCCCATTTTACATTGTTTTCTGTCTTTGGGAATTTGAAATTTGAAATTGCGAGTGGAAATGTAGAAACAGTAACGGTTTTTAGCTGAAAACTTAATGAACATTGATAAGATACTTCATGATGAAATCCAGGCGATATATATAATAGAAAAATAGATATCGAAGACATTTTTATTTCGGCAAAAATCGATAGTTAAGTTAAAATTATATTTCTATCGCTTTTTCTTCAATCAAAGACAGAGCCTAAATCTTATTTAGTAAATTCCTTCATAGATTTTTTTTTTTTTTTTTTTGCTTCCCTTTATTATACAACTGCCAAGATTTAGCATTTAGTATACATTTTTACATAATGGAACTTCAAGTAATAATTCAAAAACAAGATTAAGAATTACATGAGTGAACTATTATTAGTGGATAAAAAGAAAACTTTTCTTTAAATTATATAAACTAAGTATTATAAAATAATTAAAATTAATGGATAGATGATATAATAAATGAGTCAATTAAATAGACTGCTATGAATTTACTATGAATATATTAGTTAGTTTGCTAGTTCTGATGGAAATAAGCGTTTCAATCTTCTGTTATGTGTGGCTTCGTCATTAGGTAGCTGCCTCATTGTTGGATTAGGATGGAAAAGTAATCTGTCTGTGTGCTTTTTACTATTTTTTCGGATAACGTCTGCAACGAAGGGTATCTTTAAATCGCGATGAATGTCATAGTTTGAGATATACCATTCAGCGTTGATGATAGTCCTAAGTATTTTTGATTGCAGTCTTTGCAGTATTTGAATGTTGGATTTACATGCTGTGCCCCATATTTCGGCTCCATATTTCCATATTGGAGCGATTACTGTTTTATATACTAGAAGTTTATTTTCCACTGTTAGTTTTGATTTCGAGCAGAGTAGCCAGTACAATTGTCCAAAGCGGCGTTTAATTTCATTGCTTTTAGCTTTAATATGGTCTTTCCAAGTTAATCTGCTATCTATAGTAATGCCAAGGTAATTTGCCTTTGTGTGTGTGAAGACTTCGTCATTGTTAATTTTTATACGTTTTAGGTCATATTTTTTATTCGTGTAGATAACATGAACTGTTTTGCTTGTATTTATTTGAACTCCCCATTTGCCGAACCATTCGAGCGTTGCGTTTAGGTAATTCTGCAAGTTGTCTGTGGATATGTTAAAATTTTTATTAGCTGCAATTAGGGCTGTATCGTCTGCAAAAGTTGCTATCAAACTTTGAGGATCAGAGGGTATCGGAACATCAGCCGTGTATAGCAAGTAGAGTAATGGACCTAGTACGCTTCCTTGGGGCACACCAGCTTTCATTTGTTTAAGTTCGGAGATTGAGTCTTTATACTTCACATAAAAGTATCTATTTTGTAGATAGCTCTTAAGTAGGAGGTAAAAGTTTGTTGGAAGAAGCTCTGATAGTTTAGTTAGCAGACCTCCATGCCAAACGCTGTCAAAAGCCTTTGCGACATCTAGATATACCGCCGAGGAAAATTGTTTTGTGTCAATATCACTAGTTATTTTATTAACAACTCTGTGAACTTGTTGTATAGTCGAATACTTTTTCCGAAAGCCGAATTGATGGTCAGGTATAAGTTTTTCTTTATGAAGAATCGGTTCTAGTCTTGATAAAATTATTTTTTCAAACAATTTTGACATAACTGGTAATAGGCTAATTGGTCTGTATGATTTTGTTACAGATATGTCCTTATTTGGTTTAGGTATAGTGATTACTTCTGCTACTTTCCAAACTTTTGGAAAATACTTAAGGCGAAAAGCGCAATTAAACAGATTTCTCATATATACAAGTGCTTGAAGAGGCAGCTCAGTCAGAATCTTTCCTGTGATACTATCATATCCCGGTGATTTTTTTGCTTTAATTTTATTTTTAATAGTATTCTTAATCTCTGTTATTGTAACTTTCTTTATTGAGACGTTTTGAGTAGAGCTGCTCTGTGTAACGTTGCTATTATGCTGTTTTGGGTTACTAAACGTAGTAACTTCATAGATATTTCAAATATTAATCTAGTCACTACTGGCTTACGATTAGAGCTCACTACCAGGCAGAATTGCTGAAATTGCTCGTATAAAAGGAAGGATACCATACAACTATGGTATGGCATTCCTCCTTAGTACAACAGACCTAAGATTGTTGATTGATTATCTGACGTTATCATGACATGCATTATCATCTTAACAAAAGACGTCTGTCTAATAAAATAAAATGTCGAATCTGCTTGTATGTAAATGAAACCTCAACTTGGCCGGAACTTGCTATCATCACCTGATATTAGATGTCCTATTAGGATGTCAGCTAACATTTTGACTTTTATTTGAATTGCGAAGTATGTTGTGTTAATTTAGAGTCAGTTAGCAAACAAAAGATCAGTTTTATCCGCAGTACCACCCTAATGAGGTCAGCAGGCAATTGGGGTGTAAAACTCTCTCTTGGTCGACAAAAATTACACTCCATAGATCACTCATTCTACCTCTGCTTCTGTATGGCGAAGAATCATGTCTGCTATCACAGGATGATGAAGCAGCATTGGGAGCTTTCGAGAAAAAAAAGTTGTTCGTAAAATCTTTGGACCTCTACGAGTTGGCAACGATTACCGGATCCAAATGAACGACGCACTATACAAACTTCATTACAACATTGATATAATACAGTTAATTAACACCCAGCGGCTTTGTTGGCTATGTCATGTCGTTAGAATGGATGACGATA